AGTGAGGAAAAGGGTCAGAGGACATGCAGAGTTAATGCTGTGGGACCAGGTGAGGGAAGATGTTGCAGGTATTAGTGAGTGTGGTAGATCATATGAGCTTTGGTAGGAGGTGGGTACAGTAGCAGATATAGTGTTAGTTTGAGGTATTGGAGAGAAAATAGTGGCACGAGTCGGGTGGAGAAAGTCATCGACCTTCTTCCTACAATGGTGTGCATTTCTTCAGATGACTGTGACTGCAGTGATCTGGGTGGTAACCTTGGACAAGCCTGGCATGGTCTAATGTGGTGGCCTTCACTGCCGGTCGTGCGGGTAGTGGACATTCCACCTCTGCACTACTTTATCCTCTTTCATTCTCTGGGAGGAAAATATCCCATAACAGGATGTAGAACAACACAGCACAGGAACAGGCCCTTGCCCATCATGATGGGGCTGACCATAGTGCCATTTAAACTAAACCATCTGCCAGAACATGGTCCATATCCTTCTATTCCCCGCCTGTTCATGTCTAAATGCCTCTGAAACATTACTATTGTACCTGCTTCTACCACCTCCCCTGGCAGCATATTTCAGGCACCTACCACACTCCGTGTGATAACCTTGCCTCACACATCTCCTTTAAACTTTCTCCTCTCACCTTAACCCTATGTCTCCTTGTATTTGACATGTCCATCTTGAGTAAAAAGACTCCGACTATCCATGTCTCTCATAATTTTATACACTTCTGTCAGGTTGCCCTTCAGCCTCTAATGCTCTGGCAAAAACAATCTAAGTTTGTTGAACCTTTTCTTACAGCTAATACACTCCAATCCAGACAACATCCTGGTATACTGCACATCCTGGTATAATGTGGTATACTGCATCCGCTGTTCCCGTTGTGGCCTCCTCTACATCGGGGAAGCCAAGCAGAGGCTTGGGGACTGCTTTGCAGAACACCTACGCTCGGTTCGCAATAAACAACTGCACCTCCCAGTCGCGAACCATTTCAACTCCCCCTCCCAGTCCTCAGACGACATGTCCATCCTGGGCCTCCTACAGTGCCACAATGATGCCACCCGAAGGTTGCAGGAACAGCAACTCATATTCCGCTTGGGAACCCTGCAGCCCAATGGGCTTGTGGACTTCACAAGCTTCAAAATCTCTCCTCCCCCTACCGCATCCCAAAACCAGCCCAGCTCGTCCCCACCTTCCTAACCTGTCCTTCCTCCCACCTATCCCCTCCTCCCACCTCAAGCCCCACCCCCATCTCCTACCTACTAACCTCATCCCGCCCCCTTGACCTGTCCATCCTCCTGGACTGACCTATCTCCTCCCTACCTCCCCACCTACACTCACTTTTACTGGCTCCATCCCCGCCTCTTTGAACTGTCTGTCTCCTCTCCACCTATCTTCTCCTTTATCCATCTTTTATCCGCCTCCCCCTCTCTCCCTATTTATTTCAGAACCCCCTTCCCCTCCCCCGTTTCTGAAGAAGGGTCTAGGCCCGAAACATCAGCCTTCCTGCTCCTCTGATGCTGCTTGGCCTGCTGTGTTCATCCAGCTCTACACCTTGTTATCGAACATCCTGGTAAATCTCTTTTGCACTCTCTTCAAAACCTCTACATCATTCCAATAGTGGGTGACCAGAACTGCACACAGTACTCCAAATGTGACCTAACTGAAGTTTTATACAGCTGCAACATGACTTGCCAACTTTTATACTCAGTGTCCTGACCGACAAAGGCAAGCACATCAAACAGCTTCTTTACCACCTTATGCACTTGTGTTGCCACTTCCAGAGAGATGTCAATTTGGATGCCAAGATCCCTCAATATATCAATCCTCCTAAGGATCATGCCATTTACTGTAAACCTTGACTTTGCAATTGACCTCCCAAGATGAATCATTTCACACTAGCCCAAATTAAACTCCATCTGTCATTTCTCTGCCCAACTTTCCAATTGATCTGTGTTATGCTGTATTCTATAACAATCTTTCTCACTATACACAACTTCACCAATTTTCGTGTCATCTGTAAACTTCCTAATAAAATCATCTGTATTTTCATCCAAATCGCTTATTTAGAAAAGCACCCCTCCATAACTGCCCTCTGTTTTCAATGACCAAGCCAATTATGTCGCCAACTTATCATCTCACATTGGATCCATATGAGTTAATCTGCTGGACCAACCTACCATGAGGGATCTTGTCAAATGCTTTAGTGAAGTCTATGTAGACAATATCCACTGCCCTACCCTCAATCATTTTCATTACTTCCTCAAAAAACCCAATCAAATTTGTGAATCAAGACTTTCACTACACAAAGCCAAATTGACTATCCTTAATAAGTTCATTGTTTTCCAAATTCAAGTAAATCCTGCTCTTAAGAATCTTTTCCAATAATTTCCCTACCACTGATGTAAGGCTCATAGACATATAATTTTCTGGATTATCCCTGTTATTGACTATTCTGCAGTTTTCTGGGATCCTGCCTGTGACTAAAGAGATACAAAGATCTCTGTCAAGGCCCCAGTAATCTCCTCACTTGCCTCCTCCAGTATCTGGAAGATTCCATCAGGACCTGGGGACTTATCTAACTTAATACTTTTCAAAAGACAACACCTCCTTCTTAATATCGACATACCCTAGAATATCAAAATACCTCTCCCTAATCTGACCATCATCCATTTCCTTCTCCTTGGTGAATACCAATGCAAAGTACTCATTAAAGATCTCATCAACTTCCTCTGGCTCCACTTATGAATACCCACCTTTGTTTTTGACTGGACCTACCCTTTCAGCTCTTGCTCCTAATATATGTACAAAACGCCTTGGGATTCTCCCTAATCCTACTTGCCAAGGACATTTCATGGCCTCTTTTAGCTTTCTAGTTTCTTGTTTAAGTTCTTTCCTGCTTCCTTTATATTCCTCAAGGGCCTTGTCTGATTTCTGTTTCCTAAACTTTACATACGTTTCCTTTCTCTTTTTGACTAAATTTTCAATATCTCTTGTTATCAAGGATTCCCAAATGTTGCAATCCTTATCCTTCATACTCACAGAAACATGCTGTTCCAGAGCTCTGATCAACTGGGCTTTAAAAGACTCCCATATCAGATGTGGATTTACCTCAAGCACAGCCACACCCAATCTATTTTTCCCAGCTCCTGCCCAATGCTTTTGTAATTTACCTTCCAATTTAGCACTTGCATCTTAGGACTAGTCTTACCCTTATCCCTAACTATCTTAAACTTACAGAATTATGATCATTGTACCCATAATGACCCCCCACTGAAACTTCGATCACCTGGCCAGGTTCATTGCCTGACACAAGATCTAATATGGACCCTTCCCTGGTTGAACTATCTACCTATTATTTCAAGAAACCCTCCTTGAGGTACCTAACAAATTATGCACCATCTAAGCCCCTGGCACTAAGGAAGTCCTAGTCAATATGGAGCAAAAATAAAGTCAAGATGGGTGGTGGGCTGCCTGACATTTGGTTCCTCACCCCTTAGGATGAAACAATCTTGACTCTGACCACTGCAAGTGCCTGACTGACCATATCTAAGCTTCTGGACTGGTATCTGAGGCTGTCCTTGACTTCTGTACCAGGACTTCGTGACCAAAGGTTATCTGCTTTATAGAGTCATAGAGTCACAGAGTCCACCTCATCCATGCCAACGAAGTTTCCCAAACTAAACTAGTCTCACTTGGCTGTGTTTGGCCCATATCATTCTAAACCTTTCCTATTCATGTACCTGTCCAAATGTCTTTTAAATGTAACTGTACCTGCATCTATCACTTCCTTTGGCAGTTCATTCCACATATGAACCAACCTCTGTTTGAAAAAGTTGTCCCCAGGTCCCTTTTAAATCTTTCTCCTTAAAAAATGCCTTAAAAATAGCTTTGAACTCTCCTACCCTAGGGAAAAGACCTTTGTCATTCACTTTTTCTATGCCCCTCATGGTTTTATGAACTTCTAAAACGTCATTCTTCATCCCTCTATGCTCCAGTGAAACAAGTCCCAGTCTTTACAACCTCTCCTTATAACTCAAACCCTCCAGTCCTGGCAATATCCTTGTAAATCTGTTCCGAACCCTCTCCAATTTAATAATATCCTTCCTATAACAGGGCGACCAGAACTGTGCGTAGTATTCCAAAAGTGGCTGCACCAACATCCTGGACAACCGCAACTGATGTCCTGACTCCTATACTCAAATGATCTAAGCAAGGAAGGCAAGCATGCTAGGACTGCTAACAAATATGACAAACCTCCTAGCTTTGTGTCTTTGATAAAGGGCAAGGCAATAAATAGAGCAGTGAGCCTGGTGTCTCTGCCTGAGGGGCAAGGCATAAAAAGGGTAGAGCAAGGTAGGGATGCTGAGAGTGTCCAGGTAGTCTCAAAGTCAGTGAGCGCAATGCAGCAAGAGAACAGGATAGAGATGCAGCCTAGCCCAGACTATGAGTTGATTGGTTATACCTGAGCACAAAGTGTCCATGCTGGAGAATTACAACGATAGTTGCTATTGCACCACGAGGTACAGCACAGAAGTGTTGAAGTGTACTGTCCGTGGATTGGAGATGTGGCATGAGGGTTTTCAATGCCTGTGAACGTGAGGTGCACGTAGCCAGTGCCCATGGAGCATGCCCTTAGGTTTTTGTGCCTGGTGTCCAATATAGAGATAGCTTTAAGCCAGGGATGAGTTGAAGTCAGCAATTCCTCTTCTGACTTCAGTTTCGAGAATTCTGAATGTGTAGTTCACTCACAGCAGGCGGTAAGATACAAAGCTGCATTTTTATAAAGTGAAATCTGCAGTTAATAAGATTATTAACAAGCAATAATCCCTCTTAATAGGTCACTCCCTGCTGCCAGTCGTGAATCTTGCCTCGGTGCCTGGATCTTAGTTAAGATGTGCTCCCGATCGTTGGACTTTGCACACGAATCTGCCACATTTCATACATAGTCCACATTGTTCAGATCCCTGAGGTTCTGCCCATGGATACAATGTTAAATTTACTCTTACCTGAGCGAAAGACGTGTCATTTTGTTTTCTACGTTCACTTGTTTCTGAAGTGGAGACCTGGAATTAATGGGTCGTTGAGGCAACATCCGAGGCAAAAAGATATAAGGAATCACAGGAGGCAGGCAAAGCTGAGACAGAACACTAGCTATTCGCCAACCCAGAAAGTGAACTGCTACTGAGCTCCTGAGAGATGGTGATGTTTTAGAACTTCCACTGGTAAAAGGATTTATGGGGCCATTTAACTCTGCCTAGGAAATTTAAAAAAAGAACATCAATACAAATCAAGTACAGCATTTTTTAATTCATTCACAGGATGCAGACATCACTACCTGGGCCAGCATTTATTGCCCATCACTAATTGCCTAGAGGGTAGTTAAGAGTCAATCACATTGGAGTCACCTGTCGGCTAGACCAGGTAAGGATGGCAGTTTCCCTCCCTAAAGGACATTGGTGAATTAGATGAGATTTTCCGACAATCAGCTATGGATTCATGGTCTTCATCAGACTCGTAATTCCAGATATTTATTCAAATTCCTCATCTGCCATGGCAGGATTCAAACCCAGGTCTCCAGTACATTACCTGGGTCTCTGGATTAATAGTCCAGTGATAATACCATTAGGCCATTGCCTACCCCAGCCTGGATAAGTTATATTCTTTCATCAGCTATATATGAGTAGCACTGTGAAACAAGTTTGAAATGAAGATACATTGTCAATCATTATTTACTTTCCCCAGTTTTTACAGCTTCACTGTCAAGATTGTGGCAGATGAGATGAACTTCCTTGGAAATCCAGTTCTAACACAAATCAGAGACAAGAAAACAGAGGAAATTTTGTGCTCTATGATTGTAATCCTGTTCTACTCATCCTTTAGAGGACAACTTAATGGTACCACGCTGAGGAAGAAGGTCATAGCTTCAATTGAGACGTTAAACTGAAGACTTGCTTGTCATGTTGGGTAACCACAAAGTTCTCACGGCAAACTGTGAAGGGCAAAACAGTTTTCCAACTGCATTAAGTAATAGTTATCCTTCAATCAACGTCAGTAAAACAAATTATCCACGAGTTTAACTCATTGTCATTTGTTTGCAAGACTTATGTGTTATATACAGCAATAAATATGCTTGAAGATGACTTCATTGGCTGTGAAGTGCTTAGTAACATCTGAGGTTGTAAACGGTGCTATATAAATGTGTGTTTTAGACCCACCCACAGTGAAGGAATAGCAATGTAGTTCCACCTGAAGACGGTGTTGTTGTCTGGAAGGGAACTTGCAGGTGGTCCACCATCTACAAGGTACAAGTCAGAAGTATAATGGATAGTCCCCACTTACCTGGATGAGTGCAGCTCTAACAGCACTCAAGAGTCTTGACATCATCCAAGTTAAAGCAACACACTTGACAGGCGCCATATTCATAAACATCCGCTCTGCCACTGACCGTCATCAGCAGCAGTCCCTTGGACAACACTTTCTAAACGCACAGCCATTTCTAACTAGAAGGACAAGGGCAGGTAAAACATGGGAAAACTAGCACCTGCAATTTCCCCTCCAAGCCACACCCTGTCCTGACTTGGAAATATATCACCATTTCTTGAGTGTTGCGGGTTAGATTGTCTCTTGTTTGAGACAGTCATTGCCTCACACTTCTCTGGTGTGAATGTTATATGCCCCTTATCAGTCCAAACCTGAATGCTGTCCAGGGTTTGCTGCAAATGGTGCAAACTCCTTCAGTATTTGAGGATTGATGATGGTACTTAATATTACACAATCATTAGTTAACACCCACTTCTGTACTTATGATGGAACAGAGGTTTTTGATAAAGTAACTGGGGGTGGCCATGGGTACCCGCATGGGCCCAAGTATGCCTGCCTCTTTGTAGGATACGTGGAACAATCCCTCTTCCGCAGCTACACTGGCCCCATTCCCCACCTCTTCCTCCACTACATTGATGACTGTATCAGGACTGCCTCATGCTCCCACGAGGAGCTCGAACAGTTCATCCATTTCACTAACACCTTCCACCCCAACCTTAAGTTCACCTGGACCATCTCCAATACCTCTCTCTCCTTCCTGGACCTCTCTGTTTCCATCTCTGGCAACCACCTGGAAACCGATATCTATTTCAAGCCTACCAACTCCCACAGCTACCTAGAATACACCTCCTCTCACCCACCTTCCTGCAAGAATGCCATCCCCTATTCCCAATTCCTTCGCCTCCACTGCATTTGCTCCCAAGATGGGGCATTCCACTCCCGGACATCCCAGATGTCCTCGTTTTTCATGGACCACAGCTTCCCCTCCGCAGTGGTTGAAAACACCCTCGACCGCATCTCTCGCGTTTCCTGCAACTCATCCCTCACATCCCCTCCCCCGCAAAAGCAACAAAAACAGAATCCCCATCGTCCTCACGTACCACCCCACCAACCTCCGGATTCAATGCATCATCCTCCGCCACTTCTGCCACCTGCAATCTGACCCCAATACCAAGGACATTTTTCCCTCCCCATCCTTATCTGCCTTCCGGAGGGACTGCTCTCTCTGTGACTCCCTTGTCCGGTCCACACTCCCCACTATCCCACCCCTGGCACTTTTCCCTGCAACCGCAGGAAGTGCTACACCTGCCCCTACACCTCCCCCCTCACCCCCATCCCAGGCCCCAAGAAAACCTTCCACATTAAATTGATGTTCACCTGCACATCTGCTAATGTGGTATACTGTATCCGCTGTTCCCGATGTGGCCTCCTCTACATCGGGGAAACCAAGCGGAGGCTTGGAGACCGCTTTGTGGAACACCTACGCTCGGTTCGTGACAAACGATTGCACCTCCCAGTTGCGAACCACTTCAACTCCCCCTCCCACTCCTTGGACGACATGTCCATCCTGGGCCTCCTCCAAAGCCACAACGATGCCACCCAAAGGTTGCAGGAACAGCACTTCATATTTCGCTTGGGAACCCTGCAGCCCAATGGTATCAATGTGGACTTCACAAGCTTCAAAATCTCCCCACCCCCGACCTCATCCCAAAACCAGTCCAGCTCATCCCCAACCCCGACCTCATCCCAAAACCAGCCCAGCTCGTCCCCGCCTCCTTGACCTGTCCGTCTTTTCTCCCACCTATCTGCTCCTCCCACCTCAACCCCCATCTCCACCCCCACCTCCTACCTACCAGCCTCATCCCCGCCTCCTTGACCTGTCCGTCTTCCCTTGACTGACCAACCCCCATCCTAACTCCCCACCTACACTCACTTTTACTGGCTCCATCCCCACCTTCTTGACCTGTCCGTCTCCTCTCCACCTATCTGCTCCTTTATCCACCTTCCATCCGCCTCCCCCTCTTTCTCTATTTATTTCAATAATTCCCGTTCCCCTCCCCCATTTCTGAAGAAGGGTCCAGACCCGAAACATCAGCTTTCTGCTCCTCTGATGCTGCTTGGCCTGCTGTGTTCATCCAGCTCTACACCTTGTTATCTCAGATTCTCCAGCATCGGCAGTTCCTACTATCTGTGGAATATTAAGCCTTGGACACCACCCTGAGGAATTCCTGCAGCAATGTCTTAGGGCTAACACGATTGATCTCTAATAACCACAACTATCCTCCCTCATGCCAGGTATGACTCCAATCAGTAGGGAGACCTCCCCCAGTTCCCAGTTTTTCTAGGCTTCATGATGCCATATTCTCACCTTACCACTCTAGGTTAGTTCTACTGTCCATGTTTAGACTAAGGCAGTAATGAGTTCTGGAGCTGGGTGGCTTTAGCATAGCCCAAACTGAGCATCAATGAACAGGTTATTGCTATTTGATTGCTACTTGATGGGACTGTCAACAACAACTTCTGTCACTTTACTGATGATTAAGAGTACACTGATGGGGCTTCTGTTATTAGTTTTCTCCTGCTATTTTTTTGTGGCTAGAACATACCTGAGCAATTTCCCACATTGTCAGGTAGATGTCAGTGTTGTAGCTATACTGGAACAGCTTGGCTAGGGGCACGACTAGCTGTGAAGCACAAGTCTTCAGTAATAATAAGGACTGTGCTGATCACTCCTAACAATACTGTCCTGGAAAAAAGATGTCTGTGACTGGTAGATTATTGAGGACAAGGCCAAAAAGATTGTTCCCCCTTATTGGTGTCCTTATCACATGCTGCAGGCCACTTCAAGCAAGCTATCTCCTAAACATGACATGACAAGCTCAGTTGGTACTAGTACAATTGAGCCACTGCTGGTGATTGACATTAAAGTCATCCATCCAGAGCTCATCCTGTGCCCTAGCCACCATCAGTGTATCCACAGTGGTGTCCAATATGGAAAAGAATGGATTAATTTGTTGAGGGTGGTAATCAGCAAGTGACCTTTTCCATGTTCGACCTGATACAATGAAGTTACATGGAGTCCAGATCCAATGAAGACTCTCAGGACAATTCTCTGCTGACTGTATATCACTGCGCTGCTATCTCTGATGTCCTGTTAGTGGGATAGGGCATACCGAGGGATGATATCAGTGCTGTCTGGGAAATTGTGTGTAAAGGATGATTCTATGACCATGAGTATATCAGGTTGTTGCTCTCTCAATTTTATTACAAGTTACCAAATTATAGGGAGGACCATGCAGGTTTGAAAGGGCCGGGTAGACTGTTGACATTTCTGTTGGCATATCAGGTGGTCCATCAAGTGTTACTTCTTTCTAACTTTGTAGCTGAGTAGTTTGCCAAGTCATGTCAGGGGACATTTAGAAGTCAAAAGTATTGCTGTGAGTTTGGAGTCACAGGTAGGCCAGAACAGTAAAGGATGACAGGATCTCACTGAACTGGTAGATTTATATGACAAATTACAATAGTTTCATGGTCACTATTACTGGGACTAGAATTTAATTGCAGATTTATTAAAGTTAAACTCCACCAGCTGCTGTAGTGGATTTTGTACCCATGTACCAGGGCCTGGGTGTCATTCGTCGAGTGACATTCTCACTCTGCCATTGCCTAATAGGAAATATAACTGAGATACAGATTAGCCAAGGCCTAACTAAAGAGCACAACAGATGTAAAGGACTGAATAGCCTGGTTTAAATTCTTCAGAAGGCCAACATAGGACACCCGTTTCTCTAAATGGACGATCAGTCATACTGCTCAGCACTGAAACCACATTGTGTTCCTGGTCTTATTAAAACATTTTTGAGGTCTCAGTTAGCCTACCAGTTGGAATTCTGCACAAGCCCTCAATGGCCACATATCCTGTGGAATGGGTACACATCAGCCCTTGGTGCATGGATAATACGAGCTTGTTGTATTCTAGTATATTAATGAGTATCAGACACTGCAATATAGATCCTGTTATGTTAGAGTTAGCATGATTGGTTCCAATTGAAACTTGGGAAACTATATTTTGTTTCAATTTCCCACACTCTCATATACTCAAATTACCTCAGCTACTTTAATAGCTGCCAAGACTCGAGTATCCTGTTCCACGTTTTGGTGTTTTTGGAGAGCATTCCATGCAGCATTCCTTAACCCCTCTTGATTCTTGTCACCATAAAGAATGCGGCAGAACTTTGCCAAACTGTATGCTGCTCCGTAGCGAACCCACCAGCTACAATCCTGATCTAAGAAATACATAAAAATGGAAGCAATAAAACTGAACTGGGTACTGAAAATGTTTTTAGTTGTTTAAGTCGTTAAGTGGATTAATAATTAATACTTCATATCATTTGATATTGGTGAGACTATGACACACATAATGCCTGCATAACACTAGCGATTTTACTTTAAAATTAATTAACAGCGAAGTGTTTTGAGACCCCCTAAAATCACACAAAATAAAACAAAAAAAAACTCTCTTTAGCAATATAAATTGGATGAAGAGATATACTAGCACTGGAGGGGGTGCAGAGGAGATTCACTCGGTTGATTCCAGAGTTGAGAGGGTTGCATTATGAGGAGAGACTGAGTAGGCTGGGATTATACTCATTGGAATTCAGAAGAATGAGGGGAGATCTTATAGAAACATATAAGATTATGAAGGGAATGGAAAAGGTGGTGGCAGGGAGGTTGTTTCCGCTAGCAGGTGAAACGAGGACTAGAGGGCATCGCCTCAAAATAAAGGGAAGCAGATGTAGGACTGAGTTCAGGAGGAACTTCTTCACCCAAAGGGTTGTGAATCTGTGGAATTCCTTGCCCAGTGAAGTGGTTGAAACTACCTCGTTGAATGTGTTTAAGGCGAGGCTAGATAAATTTTTGAACAGTAAAGGAATTAAGGGTTATGGTGTGTGGGCAGGTAAGTGGAGCTGAGTCTCAAAAAGATCAGCAATGATCTTATTAAATGGCGGGGCAGGCTTGAGGGGCCAGATGACCTACTCCTGCTCCTCGTTCTTATGTTCTTATGTTATGTTCTTATGAATATAATGAGTACAGCTGTCATACTTCCATATCACTAGAAGGAATTTAGAAGAGACACAAGTGATATTACAAGACAGAAACCACAATTACAAACTTGTAGTCATGTTTCTAACAGAGACCACAAATGTCACAGTACCTCAAATATTGCAATTTCATTTCTGTTTTATTACTCACATAGACTTCAATATAGGTCAACATACCACTGAATATATATGACATCATTCTGAAAGTAGTCATTTCATCATTTTGCTTTCTGCTTGGAACTTGGCACAGCAAAGAAAAATTTCTCCTTATTGACACATAACACTCACAAGAGGGTATGATTCTACAGATATTATTTGTGCTCACACTCTGAAGATTGTTTGAATATGGGAGAGGGAATCATGGTGAATCCAGTCTCATGTATGTACATTTTAGCAAGAGTCACTGAGTAGTGATCAATATTGGAATCAGGAGACAAATTTCCTTTTCTCCTTGCCCATGAATACTAAAACCAACTTTAGCGTGACTATAGCCGCACCGGGTGAGATCTGCTACTTTGGCAGTGACCAGGGATCAAATGTGGAAAATCTCTTTGATTGGATTGTGCTCTATATTCATCAACTCCTTTTTCAATTTGATAATTAGGCAAGCTATAGAATAGTAAGAAGCTTACATTTCTATGGATGATGAGCACCATTTGTTATCATTGAGTACTTTATGAAATCAAAAAATAGGAACTAATCTATCAGAGAGGTCAACTCAAAAATGTAATTATTGTAGATAATTATCAATGATTTGCAATTTTAATACTCCTGAGTGATTAAAAGATATATTCTAAAAGACATATCACACATTCTAAAGCAACAAAATCAATGTATTATTTTGCACACAATATAGGATGGATAATAAATGCTGGTATTTCCTGTGTCAGACCTATTTTAGAAATGAATAAAATGAAACTGATTTTAAATGAATCACAATCAATTTTGCAAAAAGAATGGCAATGGCTCAATAATGGCCCTTTTAAGTAAAATTTGCCTTTTAGGACAAGGAAGCAGTAACTTGTCTGGATACCAACCCTACCAATCCATCCCACTACTCTACACACATCATTAGTACTATTCAAAAGCATCATCAATGACTTACAGATTAGTTGCTTACTTATTTGTTAAGGTTATTGCTGAATTCTGCATGATTTGGTGTTTCCTATGGTTTTTTTAAGCTTTGAAAGTAGAGAGCGGATGATGTGTCAGTTGTTGAAATATGTTTTACTAATCTCAGGGCTTGCACAAACCTGCCGCTTCTAGACATGGGTGTGTTAGTAGGCCTTCCTCTTGGAATAAAGCATGACTGGGAGAATGAACAGAAGCAATATCCAAATGATGTCAAATCAGTTGGGAGTGTGGTGTTACTCAGCAGAGAAGTCATCAAAAACTCAAAAAGGAATTTAGAAGGAGCTCCTGTATCCAAGAATGGTGAGAACATGGAATTCTCTACCACAGGAAGTTGTTAAAATGGATTGTATAAATATATTTAAGGGGAAGGTCGATAGAATATAAGGGGGGAAGGAAAAGATGGTTGTGCTGATAGATTCTGAAGAGGCCAAGTGGATGGAGATTCAAGTAGGATATGAACACCAACATATACAGAAACAAAAACAAAAATTTCTGGTAAATCTCAGCAGGTATGGCAGCATCTGTGAGGAGAAAGCAGAGTTTACATTTCCAGTCTGGTGAATTCTGATGAAAAATTACCAGACTCAAAATGTTAAACTCTGTTTTCTTCCCGCAGGTGCTGCTAGACCTGTTGAGTTTTGCCAGCAATTTCTGCTTTTGTTTCAAATCTCCAACGGCCACAGTTCTTTGTTTTACTGACATTGGTTGGACTGAATAGCTTGTAGTTGTGTGATACAGGAACAAAAGAATCAGGAGCAGGAGTAAGCAATTTAGCCCCTCCAACCTGATCCGCCATTCAATACAATCATGGCTGATGTCATCACAGCCTCAATTCCACTTTCCTGCCTACTCCCAATAACCCTCCAACCCATTACTAATTAAAAATCTGAACATCTCCTCTTAAATTTACTCAGCAAACCAATATCCACCCTGGGGTAGTGAATTCCACAGATTCATGACCTTTTGAGAGAAGTAATTTCTCCTCATCTCTGTTTTAAATCTTCCACCCCTTATCCTAAAACTCTGTCCTCTCATTCTAGATTGTCCCATATGAGGAAACATCCTCCCTATATATACTTTGTCAATCACCTTTAGCACCTTATAATTCTCAATTAGATCTCCTCTTATTCTTCTAAACTCTAGAGAGTATAGGTCTAACCTGCTCAAACTCTCCTCATAAGACAAACCTCTCATCTCCGAAACAAAAACAGAAATTGCTGGAAAAGCTCAGCAAGTCCAGCATAGAGAAATCAGAGTTAATGTTTCAGGTCGAATGGTAGTAGCTGGGAAAATGTTGGTTTACATGCAGAAGACAGTGTGGGGGGAAGGGGTAAGGAGTAAACAATAGGTGGTGATATAGCACAAAGAGAGAGAAGAACATCTTTCAATTTCTTTTGATTTTTTGATTTTTCTTTTCGATCTTTTGATTTTTACAAGAGACAATAACAGTTGGACAAAGGAGTTGATAACAATTTGGCTAGGAGGGTGAATAGCTATTAATGGAGACTGTTATTGGCTAACGATGTGTTGTGTTTAATACCAGACTATGTGATAACAAGTGCCCATCTCTGGAATCAATCTTGTGAACCTTCTCTGAACTGCCTCCAATGCAACTATATCTGTCCTCAAGTAAGGGAACCAAAATTGCTCACAAAATTCCAAGTGCAGTTTCACTGATACCTAATATAGTTGCAGCAACACTTCCCTACTTATATACTCTTTTCCTTTAGCAATAAATCCCAAAATTACATTTGCCTTCCTTATTTCCTGCTGTACTTGCATGCTAGTCTTCTGTGATTCGTGCAGGAGAACACCCAGATCTCTCTGCACTGAAGCACTCTGACTTTTCTCTCCACTTAGGTAGTAAATTGCCCTTCTATTCATTCTTTCTATTCTATGACCTCATACTAACTCATGTTAAATTCCATCCACCAAATTATGGCCCCTTCACCTAACCTATGCATACGCATTTGTAAATTTCTAATTTCGTCATTGCAACTTAATTTTCCGTCTGTTTTACTGTCATCTGACAAGTTTGGCTTTAGTATCTTCTATTCCTGCATTCAGGTCATGAATATAGATTGTAAATATTTGTGGCCCAAGGACCAAGCACTGTGGCACTCCATTAGTTATAGCTTGCCAACCAGAAAAGACTCATTTATTCTGACTCTCTGCTTTCTGTTGTTTAGCCAATCCTCCTTCCAAGCTAATAAATTACCCCTGTGATCTTACCTTGTGTATTAACCTTTTGTGTGGCACCATATCAAATTCACCTGGAAGTCCAAATATACTACATCAAAAGGATACCCATTATCCACTTTGCTCGTCACATAGTGTCACAGAGGCATACAATGTCTGGTCACAGGCTTCCAGTCCGAAAAGCAACCCTCCACCACCACCCTCTGTCTCCTACCATCTCACCAATTTTGTATCCAGATGGCTAGTTCCCCCTGTATTAATTGTGATCTATCCTTGTTAACCAGTCTACCATTCAGAACCTTGTTGAACACCTTATTGAAGTCCATATCTTCAAAGATCTCTGGAAAATTCGTCAAATATGATTTACTCCTTATAAAACTGTGCTGACTCTTATCGATTGTGTTTTAACTTTCCAAATGTCCTGTTATTACTTCCTTAAAACATAAGAGCATAAGAACCAAAAGCAGGAGTAGGCCATCTGGCCCTTCAAACCTGCTCTGCCATTCAATAAAATCATGGCTGATCTTTTCATGGCCTCAGTTCCACTTACCCACCTCTCACATAACTCTTAATTCCGTTACTATTCAAAAAATTATCCATCTTAGCTTTAAAAACATTCAATGAGGAAGCTTCAATTACTTCACTGGGCAGGGAATTCCACAGATTAGTAATCCTTTGGGTGAAGAAGTTCCTTCTCAATTCAGTCCTAAATCTGGTACCCCTTATTTTGAGGCTATGCCCTCTTGTTCTAGTTTCACCTGCCAGTAGAAACATCCTCCCTGCTTCTCTTTTATCTATTCCCTTCATAATTTTATATGTTTCTATAAGATGCCCCCTCTTTCTTCTAAATT